AATATTTTTTCTTTTTGCATTTTTTGCACATGTGTGAAAATCTTCATTTTTGGCAATAGAATTACTTAAACCCCTAGAACATAGTATATTTTCTGAAAGCAGAGGCCCTGTAGAATAGAAAAAAAAAAATTTGTGCAGTTGTTTATTAAACACTAATTTTAAGAAAAAAATATAATACAATGAATTTTAGTGCAAGCACACACAATATACTAGCCAATTGGTAAAGTATAAAAGATAAGGTTGCGCCGAGTAAATAGATACCAAACATGCCAAGTCTTAAAGTTGCGTGTGTCCATGATGTTGCAAAAAACTACAGTAATCAACAATCTCCATAGGTAATGCTTTAAGAGCTTTTACAGATCATCAGTTTAGAGGTAAACAGGAGCCCTTGTGCTGGAATTATTGTTCTCACTCTGACGTTCATGCCAATGTGTCATGTGTGGTGCGGTTTACATATGCGTGTGCACCCTGAGCTGCATTTACGTTTGCGGGGCAATGTGGGTTATGGCAATACTTTTTTTTTTTTTTTTTTAATGTTTTACACATTTTATTGTAATTTTTATTTTTTATTTATTTTTACTTAATTGCTATCTCAAGGGGTTAATAAACCCCTATGTGAAAGCATTGGGCAGGTGACAGGTAGTATTCTTGGAGACATTAGGGGTCTAATAGACTGGGGAGAGGGAGAGGAGGGACCCTGCCGCCTCCTGCGTGAAAGTGATTGGCAGCTAGGGAGAAAACACATCACTTTCACTTTCTAGCCCACAGCCTGCTGAGCAAATGGATCACAAGCTGATGGCTGCTACTGTGGCCATCAGTTTGTGATTAACAGTTCTTTCTTTGGACGTACGTAGTACATTCAAATAGTTGAACTGGTTAAATATTGCAACTTTATTCTTCCCTCGTTGAACCTTTCTAATGAACATTTCAAGGTTTATTTATAAATGGTTTTCACACAAGATTCACATAACCTTTTATATATTTTTCCAATTGAGTTAACTTTGAAAAAATTTGACTCTTGTGTAAAAAATACGGTGCCTTGAAAGTGCCAGTCACATTTTTCAAGTATTCATATCCCTTGAAATTTTCCCCATTTTGTCATGTTACAACCAAACAACATCAATATATTTTATTGGGATTTTATGTGAGAGACCAACACAAAGTGGCACAGAATTGTGAAGTGGAAGGAACATAAATGTTTTTTTTCAACATGTTTTACAAATATCTAAAAAGTGTGGTGTGCATTAGTATTCAGCCCCCCTGAGTCAATACTTTGTAGAACCACCTTTTGCTGCAATTACAGCTGCAAGTCTTTTTGGGGATGTCTCAGCCAGCTTTGCACATCTAAACAGTGCAATTTTTGCCCATTCTTCTTTGCAAAATAGCTCAAACTCTGTCAGATTGGATGGAGAGCATCTGTGAACAGCAATTTTCAAGTCTTTCCACAGATTCTCAATTGGATTTAGGTCTGGTCTTTAACTGGGTCATTCTAACACATGAATATGCTTTGATCTAAGGCATTCCTTGTAGCTCTGGCTGTATGTTTAGGGTCGTTGTCCTGCTGGAAGGTGAACCTCCACCCCAGTCTCAAGTCTTTGGCAGATATTTAATAGGTTTTCTTCTAAGACTGCCCTGTATTTGGCTTCATTCATCTTCCCATCAACTCTGCTTAGCTTCACTGTCCCTGCTGAAGAAAAAGCATCCCCACAACATGATGCTGCCCCCACCATGTTTCACGGTGGGGATGGTGTGTTTAGGGTGATGTGCAATGATCGTTTTCCGCCACACATAGTGTTTAGCTTTTACATTTTTGTCTCATCTGACCCGGAGCACCTTCTTCCATTTGTTTGCTGTGTCCTTATGCTTATGGCTTTCTTTCTACAATGGCTTTGTTCCTGCCACTCTTCCATAAAGGCCAGATTTGTGGAGTGCACGACTAATAGATTCTCCCACCTGAGCTGTGGATCTCTGCAGCTCCTCCAGAGTTACCATGGGCCTCTTGGCTGCTTCTCTGATTAATGCTCTCCTTGCCCGGCCTGTCAGTTTAGGTGGACGGCCATGTCTTGGTAGGTTTGTGGTTGGGTCATACTCTTTCCATTTTCGGATGATGGATTGAACACTGCTCTGTGAGATGTTCAAAGCTTGAGATTTTTTTTATTACCTAACCCTGCTTTAAACTTCCCCAGTACATTATCCCTGACCTGTCTGGTGTGTTTCTAGGCCTTGGTGATGCTGTAGTTCACTAATTTACTAATTAGGTGACTTCTGAAGGCAATTGGTTCCACTAGATCTTAGTAAGGGGTATCAGAGTAAAGGGGGCTGAATACAAATGCATGCCACACTTTTCAGATATTTATTTGTAAAAAATGTTGAAAACCATTTATCATTTTCCTTCCACTTCACAATTATGTGCCACTTTATGTTGGTCTATCACATAAAGTCCCAATAAAATACATTTTACGTTTTGGTTGTAACATGACAAAATGTGGAAAATTTCAAGGGGTATGAATACTTTTTTAAGGCACTGTATATAGGTAGACCCCTTAAGGACCAATTCACACTATATGCAGTGACAGACGTGTTACCGCATGGTAATACATCTGTCACTGCAGGGACACATGAGAAACAATTATTTCCTTTGTGTCCTATTCACACTGCAAGGCAGTCTAGCCAGGCATGCTGCATTTTATTGCAGCGCACCAGCTTGAATTGCACTGCAATGTCTGGCAGCGCAATGCACCACGCTGTCCAACATTGCTTTGAAAGAAGTGTACATATTGTACACTTCAAATAAAGCTCCAGTAGAACAAAAAAAAGGAACAGTGTGGTGTGCTGAATCGTGCACCAGACTGCCCCCTAGTGTAGCCGGCAACGGAGAGCTCTGGCAGCGGTAAAGCACTACGGCAGTTCTCGTAATAGTGTGAATTTGGGGGACCAAACTGTATCTGGGCACCACAAACTGAAAACAACTCTTAATTTATTTTTAATTTTCAAATAAATGCACCCATCCATCCATGTCTCCATGCTTTGGTGAGAAATAATGTTGAAAAACAATCCCTAGCCTTACTAGCCAAGGCCATCTTGAGCAAGGGTAGATGATCTATGGAACATTTTACTTCATGGAATCCATCTGCTCTTAGCTCAGGCATGCAGGCAGGAGGGTGTGTTTAGCTGAGAAAGTCCTTTCTCCCACCTCCTCCGGCTGAAAGAAAAAAATATCTATGAAGACTTCTGGAATGTATGATAACATTTGCCAAGGCCAGAAACCAGGAAACAACTGAAAATGTAAAACAAAGTGTAAAACAACTAAATACAAATACTACATGTTCCCAACAGTGAACTTTGCTTTTAAATTTACTAATCCTCAGTGCTGCTGACTCCAGCTCTCTCATTGCTACTACCCTGAACTTCCTTTCAGGGACATTAGTCAGAGTACTTCACAAGAAGGGACAGGTCAATCTCCAGGAGCTGTCCATTAATTAGCTTGAAGGAACAGGGGTGTGGATTGCCATCCTAGGCTTCATGCCTTTGTTTTTTGTATGGACGTACACAGTGTACAAGCACACCACATCTGTTCAGCTCCAAACCCAAACACATAGGACCCAGCAAGGGAAAGAAGTTCCTGAATCTGGATAATCAGGGGCAGCATCAGAGCTCCTGCTAATTTGTCAGGAAACAAAAGCTTTGCAGCAGGAAGGAGCAGCATCCATTGTTAATGGTTTTTAAGCATGTGGAATATTGTAAAAAAATTGGGTTTATTATAACTTTAATGATTTGCTTTTTTCAGATCTTATCTCAGGAAGCATATGTAGAATGTTGACCATTTATTGTGGTGTTCCATAAGGTTATCCTTTAATTACATAAAACATCCTTAAATATGTCTTTTTTATATCCATTTCAAACTAATAATGGCTTTCAATTTAAAGTGAATAAAGAGTGCCGGGGCCATGCAAAAACAGTGCTGACACCGTCCCGTTGTTTCCTTCCGGCTAAATGAAAGTGACACCAGTAGATTAGAATGAGACTAAGACAATTCGCATTGCAATTGTGTTAGTTTAACTTTAACAATCTTTTAACACTCTTGTTTAAATGTAGCTGACATACCATAATTACAAATCTACAAGCCTTGATTAAAGAATTTTACATCTGAACCTATGGAGAGAATGTATTGACTTTTTTTTTTTATATCTTCAAGGAAGCCAATTTTTCTTTTGTGCATTTGGTGAACCAGTCCTGAGGGCTACATGTCCAAAACAGATCCATCTGGAATTTCAATTCTTGTATTTTATTGACATCTTTTTTGTAGGTGATTCTGTATATTAAAACAAAGGGTTATTGTCAAGAAATTTTCTCTGTTTAATGGCAGTGTGATGGAATTATAAAACTAGTCTGAAAAAAGCTGATGCGTTTCAGCTGACATTTTTCCCATGCATTTTAAAGACGTAAAGTGGTTGTAAAGCCACAAGGTTTTTACCGTCATGCATTCTATTCATGAAAGTGAAAAAAACCTTCTGAGTGCAACTCCACCAGGTCTAATTCATCCCAAAGGTGTTCAGTCGGGTTGGAGTGCAGGCTCATCCATGTTTTTATGGACCTGGCTTTGTGCACTGGTGAGCAGTCATGTTGGAACAGGAAGGGGCCATCCCCAAACTGTTCCCACAAAGTTGGGAACATGAAATTGTCCAAAATGTCTTGGTATGCTGACACCCTAAGAGTTCCCTTCACTGGAACTAAAGGGCCAAGCCCAACCCCTGAAAAACAACCCCACACCATAATCCCCCTTTCACCAAATTTTACACTTGGCACAATGCAGTCAGGCAAGTACCATTCTCCTGGCAACTGCCGAACCCAGACACGTCCATTGGGTTGTCAGAGAAGCGTGATTCGTCACTCCAGAGAACATGTCTCCCCTGCTCTAGAGTCCAGTGGTGGCTTGCTTTACACCACTCCATCCAAAGGTTTCCATTGCTCTTAGTGATGTAAGGCTCGAATGAAGCTGCTTGGCCATGGAAACCCATTCCATGAAGCTCTCTACGCACTGTTCTGCTAATCTGAAGGCCACACGATGTTTGAAGGTCTTTAGTTATTAACTATGCAGACAGTTGGTAACTACTGTGTGCTTCAGCATGCGCTGACCCCCCCCCTGTCATTTTACGTGGCCTACCACTTCATAGTTGAATTGCTGTTGTTCCCAGTTGCTTCCACTTTGTTATAATACCACTAACAGTTGACCGTGGAATATTTAGTAGCAAGGAAATGTCACGGATTGACTTATTGCACAGGTGGCAACCTATCACGGTACCACGCTTGAATTTACTGAGCTCCTGAGAGCGACCCATTCTTTCACAAATGTTTCTAAAAACAGTCTGCATGCCTAGGGGCTTGATTTTATACACCTGTGGCCATGGAAATGATTGGAACACCTGAATCCAATGATTTGGAGGGCTTGCCCAATACTTTTGGCAATATAGTGTGTGTGTGTGTGTGTGTGTGTGTGTGTGTGTGTGTATATATATATATATATATATATATATATATAAAATGTTTTTATTATTTATTTTACAAAAGTGCAGAAACCTTTTGAAGACCTCTCGTATTTCCCTGAAAACCACTGCTGTGTGAACGCTGCAATATTAAGCTAAGCTTTTCTTTTTAGTAGACTGACTGCTTTAAAGTTGTCATTCCATCAAAAATCCACCATCTCATTGAAATGTTTTTCCAATATATAAACATCATTAGGTATTTTATGTTCCTATAGCTTATAGAAACTTATAATATTAGTAGAAATTCCATACATTCTGTTATGTTTTACTTTCCTTCCCTGTGTTAATAAAATACCCCTACAAATATACAGTTGTATATCTTCATCCAGCATTTTTTCCTTACCTCTTTGGTATAGACATCATTTTGCTCTCTTGGGATAGATTATTGAAAAATTAGCTCAGATTCTAAATCAAAATCTATCAATCACTGTTTAAGTTTCAAAGAGAGATGGCTAGATAATAAATTGGGAATAAGCAAGCTGGAACCTACTCAACAAATTCAATTCTTGGTTAAGAAGTTTGATTCATTACAGGGAATAAGGCTTTAGAGAGACAGAATAATTCAGTATCCATCAGCTAAAGGATTGGAATACAAGCACTAGACCAGACATGCTGAAAATAGGCACGGTTGTAAGGGCATGGTACAATGATTAGGTGACGCAATTCTTTCATCTGCTCCAAGTTGGGGACATTATTTAATGTGCCTATCTGCACGCATTTCATAGCCCTTAAAGGATACAGTATTAAAAAATGACAGAACCAAAGAATTTAAATCTTTTATCAAATTGGAATATAATGTAATTGGACTATTGGTACTCCCTCAGAGCTGGTGTGCACAAATTAAAGTGGGCCCATACTAAAATCAGCCCTACATACTGCCTATCTTACTGCCTTAATTTTTTAAGTGGTAAACAAGGGAAGGGTCAGATTTGCAGAGAGCGGCTGGTGTAGTTTTGAAAGAAACTGTAAAAGACCCTTCACATCTTTGTGGTACATTACTATGTGCACTATAAAGCAGGGTACACATGCTGAGAAAAGTGGATGAATGATTGTCCAAGTTTCATGAAGGTAAGGTATGGTATTAACTCGGTATGAAAATTCTCGAATGACTAAGGCAAAGTTCGTTCTTGTGTACAGTTTCTATGTTCTTTGCTATCTTCTTCTGGGTCGTTCTTTTGCTTCTGGTCATGCTTGTTTTTTTTTCTATTCGATTATTTCTGTATGATTGCTGTACACATAGGTGTCCGTTTTTATGACACAGAGAATAGCTGCGATTCAGAGGATCACAGCTATTCTCTGGTCATTCACAGTTTATGACACTCAGGAGATCAGCGGAGAACACGTTCAGCTCTTAACTGGAGATCTGTGTTCTCCCTCCAGATTCTCCAGCCCAGAGCTGGAGAATCGGATGGACCACAAACTAAGCAGCGATAATTTACCTCTGCTTAGTAAACTGATCTTTTACTGTAATGTCGCGAGATTATAGTAAAATCAGCCGTTTTCCTTCTTTCGGAGAAACTGATCTACACTGCTTCATAAAAGGCATTCACAGGAGAACTGTGTTCTCCGAGAATGCCGGAGAACTGAGCAGCGGTCATTTACCCCTGGTTCATAAACGGACACCATTGTGTTCATGTACAATAAAAAATTCCTAGCTTATACCTTAGTTTTTTTTTTTCCCGGCTGTTGAAAGCACTGTGTTTTGGATAATCTACGATCGTTACTCGTACAGAATTTTTCTTCCAATTTGCTTATAACATGTCCCCAACCTAACATGCAGATACTATGGCAACTCATTTTATTTTGTAGGCTTCCTATGTACTACAACAGACCAAAAAAATGCACCTGCACCGCATACTTTTTTTTTTTCCTTACGTATGTAATGGGTATGCATGTTTTTCAGAGCAGCACAATTGCATTACAGACGCAGTTTTTTTTCTTGGGGTACCAATCTAAATGAATGGCTCAATAACACAGGGGTGTAAAGCCAGCCTTCTAGGTCAGTTGACCGCTTTATTTTCTTGTTTTCAAACTGATGTTTAATATCTGTTTTGTTTTTTCTAAAGCACCCCCTGCCCATGCTAAAATGCTGCAAAGAAAACCTGTGAGGGAAAGAATGAATAGATATACTTAGGTTTCCCCTAGATTCTACACTGTGGAGGGAGGGGGGGGGGTGACATTGCCACCCTTCCAGATGAGATCCTGAGGAATATCCCCTTCACCTAAGCGCTGGGGGAAAGGTAAGTATATTTATATTTAATATGTTCATTTAGTTTTCTTTTAGTCCCTCTGTATTGTGCCTTAAAGTGATTATAAAGGTACAATGTTTTTTTAAATAATAAACATGCTCTCTGTGTAATGGTTTTGCACAGATCAGCCCCGATTTTTCTCTTCTGGGGTTCCCCACCCACACTCCTGGCTCCTTCTCACTACCAAATGCCCCCATAGCAAGCCGTTTGCTATGGGAGCACTCATCCGGGCTCAATCCTGAGCTGTTGACACACTCACAGCAAGACTTAGCCCTGCCCCTTGCTCCCTCCTCATTGTATTTGATTGGCAGGAGCCAATGGCTCTTGAATCCTCAATGCTCAGGTATGTATGTGGGGAGGGGGGCTGATCACAGAAGGGTTTTTTTTTTTTTTTTTTTTTAATTCAGAGAATGCTCTGCCTTTACAGCCACTTTAGAGACCTGTTGAGCCTGCTAGTGAAGTCTACCTAATGCAGTTTTTTTTTTTTGTGATAGTTTGGCAACAGTGCAGCACTGTTCCTGAATTCAGAACAGAGTTGCCTCCCTTGTGTAGGCTCTGCTTGCAGAGGGATGAAAATAAAATCTTGCAGGCGATATTACTGTCACTATTGCTACTAGAGGCATTTAAGACAAATGGAGGATTTGCCTCAGAGAAGATAAAGTTTTTGTTTACTTTGTGAGTGTTATACATCACATAGTAACTAGATTTTGTTTGTGCTCTTGTGTATTTTATATACTGTAAAAAAAAAAAAAAAAAAAAGATATCGGTGTTGATTTACTAAAGGCAAATAGACTGTTCACTTTGCAAGGTGCAGTTGCACTCTGCAAGTGCAGTTGCTCTAGCACTTAGTAAATGAGGTAAAGCTGCACTTTGCAAAGAATACCCAATTACATGCAAGCAAAATAAAAACCAGCATTTTTCCTTGCACATGATTGGATGAAGTCAGTAGAGCTTTTGATCATTTAGCAAGCTCTGGAGTAACTGCTCTTGCAGAGTGCAACTGCACATTGTAAAGTGCACAGTCTATTTGCCTTTAGTAAATCAGCCCCATTGTTTTCATTTGTTTAATGTGATAGCAGTGTAGTGCTCTGAAAGCCCTGCCACAGTACATTTACTGCGGCAGGGCAGCACATGCAGACTCAGTCATGTATATATACGCGATTGAGCTTGCACCTGTTTAGGAGCACGCAGCACACCCCATCTGTGACCACTGTGTTCGATCACCATCATCCGGAAACCAGGTATCACGTGATCACTATGATTGGTCACAGCAATCACAAGATATGTAAAGAACCCGTCATGAATGGTTTCTCATTCATGAATAGATTTCTTGCTGTTGTGATCTGTGATTGGCCCACAGCCATTTTAATTTTTTACTTACTTTCATCAGTCAGTATATACACTCTCCAGCCACTTTATTAGGTAAACCTGTTCAATTGCTTGGTAACACAGATTGCTAATCAGCCATTGACATGGCAGCAACTCAATGCATTTAGGCATCTAGACTCGGTGAAGACGACTTGCCGAAGTTCAAACTGAGCATCAGAATGGAGAAAAAAAGGGGATTTAAGTGATTTTTAAAATCTGAGTATTTAAAAAAAAAATGCTGATCTACTGGGAATTTCACATACAACCATCTCTAGGGTTTACAGAGAATGGTCAGAAAAAGAAAAAATATCCAACGAGTGGCAATTGTGTGGCCGCAAATGCCTTGTTGATGTTAAAGGTCAGAGGAGAATGGGCAGACTGGTTCAAGATGATAGAAAGGCAACAGTAACTCAAATAACCAGTAACTCAACCACTCGTTACAAACATGTTATGCAGAATACCATCTCTGAACGTACAACACATCAAACCTTGAAGCAGATGGATTACAGCAGCAGAAGACCACACCAGTTGCCACTCCTGTCAACTAAGAACAGCAAACAGAGGCTACCTTTCACACAGGATCACCAAAATTGGACAATAGAAATTTGGAAAAAACATTCCCTGATCTGAGGGTCTCAACTTCAGCTGCAACATTCAGATGGTAGGGTCAGAATTTGGTGTAAACAACATGAAAGTATGGTTTCATTCTGCCTTGTATCAACGGTTCAGGCTGGTGAGTATGGTGTGGGGGATATTTTCTTGGTACACTTTGGGCCCCTTCCTACCAAATGAGCATCATTTAAATGCCACGGCCTACCTGAGTAGTGTTGTCGACCATGTCCATCCCTTTATGGCTAATGTGTACCGATCTGATGGCTACTTCCAGCAGGATAATGCACCATGTCACAAAGCTCAAATCATCTCAAACTGGCTTTTTGAACAGGACAATGAAGTCACTGTACTCCAATGGCATCCACAGTCACCACATCTCAATACAATAGAGCACCTGTGGGATGTGATGGAACGGGAGATTTGCATCATGGATGTGCAGCCAATAAATCTGCAGCAACTGCGTGATGCTATCATGTCAATATGGACCCAAATCTCTGAGGAATGTTTCCAGCACCTTGTTGAATCTATGCCATGAAGAATTAAGGCAGTTCTGAGGGAAAAAGGGGGTCTACCCAGTACTAGCAAGGTGTACCTAAAAAA